TCCCGGGGCTGGCAGCAGTGGGAGGGGAGGATGGGGTGGGGTGGGGGGCACATGGGTGCCAGTGCAGGACCTACCCAGCCACCCCCTGGTCAGGCACGTTGAGGAAATCCATGTTGTGCTCAGACGGGGGCCGCACCTTCGGCTGGCGACTGGGGTTTTGGGGGGGAAGCGCCGCAGCTGGTGGCCCCCGCGCCTGCTTCTGGGGCGCTGTGTAGGTGTCCCGCTGCGCCCGGCCGTTGCTGCGGGGGAACTGGGGTGCCCCGTTCCTGCAGGTGCCTGGAGGACCCCGACCTGGGACGGTGCATTACAAGGGGCCCACGCTCAGCCTGCACCCCCACGGTGAGTGATGGGGTCCCCCGTCCTTGGGACCTCCCCACCCTTGGCACTGCCCTCCTCACCTCTGGGTGCTGGTGGGGTGTTTCGGGAGGGTGCTGGACACCTGCTGCCACCTCTGGTCTGCGCTGCCCCCTTCCTCGTGGGCTCTGGGGGGACACCAGCCCCCCGTTAGGTGATGGTCCTCAGAGCCAGCTGGGGGGGGCTGTCCCTGCAGTTTGTACCCAACTGCCCTTTTCCCTGAAACACCCCGTGCTGCCCCATCACCCGAGCAGAACCAGGCCCCTCTTGGGTGAAACGCAAACCCCTCAGGGCCGGGGCACACACTGGCTCACCCTGATGTTCCCAGGTCTCCGGCTGTGCTCTGAGACCCCAGTGCTCCTGTCCCCCCCGCTCACCCCCCCATCACCCCCAGGCTCCCTGGCACTCACTGGCATTCCTGGGGAGCCCATCCCCGATGCTGACCGTAAGGGTTTTGCCTCCAGCTTTGAGGGCGGCCACGTCTCCCTGTCCTCTGACGAAGGTGACGTTGCGGGTGCCGCCGCCGCCCCAGCCCTCCTTCTTCACCCGAAACTGTAGTCTAGGCAAGAGAGAGGCTGTAAGGCCACAAGGACAGAACCCTGTCCTGCTTTGTCACCTCTCCTGGCCTCCGTCCTTACGTGTCCTTGAAGGAGAGGCGCAGCTTGCTGTGGGTGAGCTCCTCGTAGCGTTTGCACAGCAGGCTGATCAGCTCCGTCTTGAAGATGGACTCCAAGAAATTGTCGGCATCGTTCTCGTGGAGGATGAAGAAATCATCCTGCCTGGTGCTGGAGGAGCAACCCCAGTGCGGGGGCATCAGTGGGGGGCAAGGCTGGTGCCAGCTGGTGCTGGGAAGCCCCGTGGGTCCACCCCGAGCAAATTTGGAGGGTGGTTTAGCTGGAAAAACCTCCCTGCGGTCCAAAGCCCCATCTGCAGAGCTCCCCAGCACGGCCACGGCCTCTGCGCGTGAGGGGCTGGGGTCTGTCTGGGGGGGGCAATGGGTGAAGCCTGGCTGTGTGGACCCCCCCTGAGCAGAGCCTGTGCTAAAGGACGCACCTCAGCGAGATGCTGTTCACTGCCTGGAGCTCCACCTTCTTCTTGAGCACCTCCTTGATCTGCCCCTTCTCAGGACCTTTCTTCACCTTCTCCCGCCCGATCAGGTAGAAGTACTTGGGGGTGAGGATGAAGTCCCGCTTGATGGGCTGGGAAAGGGCAGAAGCAGGGGGTGAGGGGGTGTTTGCAGGGGGCACAAGCCCTGCACACACATCCCACCCAAGGGTAGCCACAGCTTGGCCTGTCCCAAGCCCTGCGTGTGCCCATGTACCTTGAACCTCCGGTCGTACTTAGTGATGGAGTCGGCGAAGTCTACCCGCTCCCGCTTGGCCAGGAACTGGCGCAGCTCCGGCCGCTCCTCCATGCCCAGGTAATCGCCCACAAAATTCCTGTTGATGCTGTTCCTCCTCCGCTCTTTGAAGTTGTAGAGGATGTTGGAGGCTGTGAGAGACCCCCCCAAGCCACGCTGGTCAGACGGGGCTCTGTGATGGCAGCTCAGCCCTTGGCTCAGCCCCTGCCCGCCTGCCTGGCCACTGCCTGCCCTCCCAAACTGCCTGTGGGAGCTGTCACGTGGATTTTGGCAGCAAGAAGTGGGGCTCGTTTTATGTCACAGGAGGAATCCAAGCTGCTTGAACTCCCCTGGCTTTGAAACCCATTAACTGCTTTCAAAAAACCTTGTGCTGTGGAAGGGAGGGAGGGAGGGAGGCAGATGCTTTCTGGGTTTTCTCCCTCGATTTTCCACTGCGTGCTTGGGAGGGTGGGAAAACCCCTGCGATGGGGGCAGGTGGTGGTCACTGGCCTTTCCCATCCCTCTGCAAACGCTGATTCCCAGCTACTCCTCTCTGTTCCTTTGGACAACGAAATGCAGAGCGCAAGGATCTGATTTCTGTCCTACAGCCCCTCCCAGGGCTGGAAATAGGAGCAAGAAATCCATGCCCTCCTTTAAGATGTAGGAAAAAACCCAGATATCTCATGGTCCGGTCTCTCGTCACCCCCCTCCTCATGAGTGCCACAATTAGGAGCCGGGCTGCTGCTCTCCTGCTGCTCTGGCTGCTGGGCTGTCCCCAGCAAAAGGCACCCTGACAGGGGTGCTGGGGTCCCCATCCTTACCCTCCTCTCGCATCTGCTCATACTTCCGGATGGCCACGTGCCGGCGCCAGGCCTTCTGGATCACCCGGGCGAAGCCGTCGAATTTCCGCTCCCGCATCTCTTCAAGGAGGAAGAGCTGGGAGGGATACGGGATGCTGAGCACGGCCGGCCACCGCCCAGCCCCAGCTGCATCCCTTCTCCCGCCCATCGGCACCCCAAAACCTCCCTAGCGGTGCCCAAAGCGATGCTCAGCTGCGTGAAGCATCCCCCGGGGCTGCAGGGCTGCGGGACGAGGGGCAGAGCCAGCCCACCTACCGATTCGGGGTTCTTGACAAAGACCTTGCTCCTCCCCATCTGGTACTGGTCTGGGTCCATGTTGACAGCGCGTAGCAAGTGCTGCACCCCTTGCCGCTCGTCCCCGCGCCACGACGGCCACGTCTCGGGGGTGAGGATGGCGTAGCTGCGGGGAGAGGGGGACGTGAGTCAGGGCTGGGCCGTGGGGACTCACCACCAACCCCCCCTCCCCATCGTGGTGGTCACTCACCGTTGCAGGAATTTGTGGAAGAGGCGGCGGTAGGCGAAACCTGCCCGGCGCACCCGGATGTTCTCCTTCAGCCCCAGGTACTCGACTTGGTGCTTCACCCTGCGGAGCCGGGGGGGACGCGCTCGGTGCGGGGTGGCAGGTTGGTGGGCGACCTGCCCGGGCCCTTTGGCTGCTGCTTTGCACGGGGATGCCCACGGCTGAGCATGTGGCAGAGCTTCCTGAGGCTCAGATGGAGCCTCTGGGTGATGCACGGGGGGGGGTGTGTGTGTCCCCTCCTCAGTACCCACCTCCCCTGGGTCTGTGGGCAGCACAGAGGGACCAGCCCAGGGGTGCAGTTTTTGGAGGAAAGCTGGTCCTGGCCACATCTCCATGGCCGGGTTGTGTTCCCTGGTCTCTGTGGGCTCCTTGATACATAATGAGGGGGGCTCTTACCTGCTCTCCTCCCAGTCCCGGGGTTTCTTGGTCTCGTTGGGCTTGATGCAGCGGATGTAGTGTGGTGTGCACTTCATTAGCGTGTTCACCAGGTCGTTAGCCTGTTTCTGTTGCAAGGATTGACCTCTGTAGCATTAAAGGTGGTGGTGGGAGCCCATCACCCTGCCACTGCCCCAGAGGCAACTACTGTCCTGCAGCCTCTGGGACGTACCTTGATTTTGGAGCCCGCGGTGGTTGGTCGTCCCTTTTTGTCAGAATCAAGTTTTTCTGGGAAAAGCATCCGGATGAAACCGCTGAAAGGCAGGTGACAGTCCCCGGGTGAGAGCTGCCAGGGTCCCCAGGCTCAGCACGCGCTGAGCTGGGACCAGCTCCAGCCCTGCTTTCTGCTGCTGGGAAATCCTGTACCATGGCTCAGCCTGTCCCCCCCTCCCCGACTGCCTCCAGGCCGAGCAGGATTGGTGCTGGTGGGCGAGCACCCCTCTGCCCATCCCTGCAGCCCTCGGGTGCTCCTGAGCTCCACGGCGGGATGCTGCCAGGATGCCGAGCACCCCAAACCACAGGCAGAACCACTAAAGCTTCATGGTGTGGACGATGAGGATGCTGCCCTCTGCCCCAGCCCATTTGGGGTGCCCCCCCCGCCCCCGGACCGCAGCGCTGCCAGGACTCACTATTCACTGCTCTGCATCAGCTCGATCAAGTCTGTGAAGAGCACGTCCCGGTTGCGCTCGCAGAAGCCGTTCACATCGTAGGAGACCTGGGGACAGGATGGGGGGCTCAGCCCCGTGCCGCCGGGGCCGGGGCCGTGGGGTGCAGGGTGTGGGGTGCTGTACCTTGCCTGCATAGTGGTGGATGACGAAGCCCGAGTTCCAGCTGTTGAAGTGCTCGTGGGTGCCCACGGCCGCCTGCAGCTTCTGCAGCAGGGTCTGGTCCGCGCCCTCGCCGGTGGCGTGCATGGTGGCACAGACATCGTCCAGGACGCTCATGATCCCGGGGGGGTTCTGGGGGGCGGGGGGAGAGCGAAGCCAAAGGCTGTGGGAAGGGCCCAATCCTGCACCTGGCTCTGCTCAAGGGCCCCACACCGGTCAAAACTGCTTCACGCTAAACCACAGCTTAGATTAAGGGCGCAGAGCTGCTGCTCTCCCAGGGATGCTCCCTGGCTGGACCAGCTTCTGCCACCCATCCTCGACAGCACCCAGCCCATCCAGCACCCCCCTCCGTGGGTGCCTCAGCTTCCCAAGGAAACCTCCCCCAGAGGAGGGGACCTCGCTCACCAGCTTGTTCTCTATCAGGTCACACACCACCTTGTTGTTGAAGTACTGGATCTGGGTCCACTTGATCCCCTCCTGCACATACTCCTCCTGGGGAAGCGCAGGGAGAGCCGGGTGGGCCCCTGACCCGTGGGACGTGCTGCAGCCCCCCCCGCTCCAGCCGTGGTGCTGGGACCGGCCAGTGGTGAGGGTGCAGGAGAAGGAATTGGGGCGCTGGCACAGCCCCGCAGCCTCCCAACCCAGGCCCCCCGTACCTGCTCTGCCTTCAGGGTCAGCTCTATGAAGATCTGCTGCAGCTTCTCGTTCACAAAGTTAATGCAGAATTGCTCAAAGCCATTTTTCTGCAAGATGAAAGAGAAGAAGGTGTTGTGTTGGCTTCTGCTCCTCTCACCACACTGGGGGGACCCCGAAGAGCAGAGGTGCTGCTCCAGGGACCCTTCTTGGGGCCATCGACTGCTGACAGCCCCCGGCTCCAGCCGCTCTCCTTGCTGTGGGAGCAGGGAAGGACGTTTCCCAGCTGGGCTCGGACAGCAAAGCAACACATACCTGGAATATTTCAAAGCCGTAGATGTCCAGCACCCCGATGCTGTACTCCTCGTGAGGCTTCTGCATAGCCCGGTTGATAGACTGCAGGGAGAAAGGGGACAAGTCCCCTCCATCAGGGGCGTAGGGCGGTGGGGACGGGTGAACATCCCCTCCACGCGCAGCCACGCTCGGCCCAGCCCACCGGGACCACGCACCTCCACAAGAAAGTCAAAGACACGTGCATAGAGCCCCTTGGCCAGGGCGTCCCGGGTGTAAGCCGCCTGCTCCACGTTGAGGGTGACGGTGATGGACTCGGAGCGGCCACCCCACTTGCTGTCCATTTTCCTGCTGGTGACCTTCTCGTTGAGGCGCTCCTGGTCGATCCCCAGCAGGTAGGCAGGGAAGGCCAGGGCTGGGCAGAGTGGTGGTGGTGGGGGGGTCAGGGCTGCCTGCTCCCCGTATGCCCCCCACACGCTGCTCGCAGCCACCTCTGGACCCCCCAGCCCCATCCGAGTGCAACGGACAACAGTGGTGCAGCGACTGGGGACGTGGGACATCATCCTCCCTCTGCTAAATCACAACAAGAGACTCCTGGCATCCGTCCCCTTGCTAATTAAGCTCTGGTTGTGCCTCAGTTTCCCCATGTCTAACATAGGGAAGATGATGCTGCTTCTCTGCTCTGCCAGGGGATTTGTGCCGCGGAGAGTTTGCAATTCCCTGCTGAGTGTCTCTGCGAGTGTCCTCACTTGCCCCCCCCCCGGAACAGGCAGAGTTGGCTACTCACAGTCAGCGTTCTCCACCCGCGCGTAGTTGCCTTCCTCCCGAAAGCTGATGTTTCCCAGGTGGAGGATCCCCGCCACGATCTGCAGCACCAGCTGCTGGTCCTCGCCACGGATGCCGATGACCTGCATGGCGTTCTGGGGGCGTGGGGAGCCCGTCAGCCCCTGCCCGGCCGTGGGTGCCTCTGGGGACTCCCCGTCCCGGGAACTCACCATGGTCTCATGGAAGTCGCTGCGGTCGTCCGTGCCCTCCACCTGGTACGTGTCTGACTGGTTCAGGTAATAGTAATAATCCGGGTTCATGATGCCCAGGTTCTGCCGCTGCTCTTGGGACGCCCCTTCGATGAGCTGGGAGAGAAACGGGAGCTGTGGTGACCCGTCCCCTGCCCCCTGCCGCAGCCTGGCCGGCTCCGTGTCCCCCCCCCGTACCTGATAGTAGACGTGGAAATTCCTCTCACACTCGTTCTGGCTCACCACCCGCGACTTCTCCAGCAGAAAGTTGGAGATCTTCCCTCCGTCGGGTTCACCGCCCCGGCTGAACTGGATCTCGAAGTACTTCCCCTGCCCCAGCAGAGCTCCCGCTCAGAGCCATGGCCCCGGCACTCCTCACTCCCCTCGGCCCGGGTTTCTCTCCCCCTTCTCCCACCACACCCGGAGCATGGTTGGGACGGACCCTGGCTGCTGCACTGACCCTCCACACCTGCCCTGGCGACTTACAAAGCGGCTGGAGTTGTTGTTCCGGACAGTTTTGGCATTTCCAAAGGCTTCCAGCAGCGGGTTGGACTGCAGGATGATATCCTTCACGTGCTGGGGGCAGACGAGGGACAGGGATGAGCAGGGGGCAACGCACGCCTGCGCCTCGCAGAAGCAGCCCTGCCTCGGGGCTGGGGACGGACCAAAGCTTTGCGCGTCCCCCCAACCCTGGAGCTCGGGCTGCCCCGTGTGCCACCATCAGATGGGGGTGCAGGGGGCTGGGGGGTGGTGGGGAGCGGTTGGGAGGTGAAGCGATGTGTGGTGGTGAGGGGAGGGGATGGACATACCTGCACTTTCTCGCCACCCCCGGACACTTTGGAGATGTAGCCCATGATGTATTTTGCTGCCACCGTTTTCCCAGCCCCGCTTTCTCCGCTGTGCAAATGTCAAAGCAGATGAGACATGAAATGGCCCCGCCGGGGTCCTGGGGTGCTTTGGGGTGGATGCTGGAGCAGGGCCGGGGGGTGATGGCAAGTGATGGGGGCTGTGACCTCCCCCCTGCTGCGTCTGCTGAGCGTGTGGCAGCGCTAACCTGGGGATGGGGCTGCCTGGGTGCTCGGGGGGGGGCTCTGGGTTATAAGCAGGGCTGGAGGAAGGCTGGGTGAGGAGCTGCTCTGAGAGGAGACATTGGATTTCTTGTTGCTGGATTTTGGAGGGGAGGAGGGAGACTTGGAAGCCTCGAGGGGAAGTCTCTGGCCTTGCCCCACATCCTGACCATTTCTGTCGCAACACTTAGCCGGAAAGGTGCGTTGCACAAGGCTTGGTCCCAGCCTGGGACAACCCAGTCATGGCCCCAGCTGGTGCCCATGGCCCAGGACACTGGGTCCCCCCCAGGCACCCCCATGCCCTGGGCCCCCCCGGGACCCACCGCTGGGCTCCAGCTGCTGCCTGGTTGCTGTGTTTAGCTGGGATGCCCCCAGCGTGTGGGGAGAAGGGGTGATGGGGGGCAGCTGGCCCTGGAGCAGTGACACGGGATCCCCGGCTGCGCCCCGCGTACCCCTCACCTGATGATGACGCACTGGTTCTCCCCGTCGATCAGCATGTTGCGGTACATGTTGTCAGTCAGGGCGTAGATATGGGGGGGATTTTCATACTGAGCCTAAACAGGGGCCAAGAAGAGCAGTGCTTAGCACGGAGCAGCCATCAGCCCCCACCCCAAATCCCCTTGGCTCTGCCCAAGCATTGCACAAGACACCGGCACACAGCGGGGATGGGGAATTAGTCTCTTGCCACAAACACGAGCTAATCAGCAGCACGTCAGATGTTTTTTCGGCTCTCCCCTCCTCCTTGGGAGCTCGTGGTGGCAGAGCTAGTCACTTGGGCTGGATTTTACCATGTTTGGATTCCCTTGGTGTGTTGTTACGAGCTGAATTTCCCAGGAATGTGGATTTGCTCCTGAGTCTCCTTACTGACTCTCCATCAATGTGTTTGGGAGTACCGACCCCTGCAGCACCCAGAGGGCTGGGGAGGACAGGGACACTCGTGGGACGCACCCCAGGTGTTTTGTACCAAATTAAACCCAAAGAACCCTTGGCCGAGCCCGCGCACTGGCACGCGGCAGCCTCACCGCTCCCTGGTACAGCTCGATCTCCCGGTCGGTGAAGTATGGCATCTGCTTGAAGGGGTTGACGGAGATGAGCACTGGCCCGATGTAGGTCTGAGTGGCAGGTTAAGGTCTGTGTGTCCTTTCCCATGTTCCCCCTTCCCGCTGCCCCTTCCCGCCCCGCAGGCAGCGTCAGAGAGAGCAACGGCAGGCGGGAGGTTGGGGTGGTCCCTGCCTCAGCCTGGAAGCTGCCCCAGGAATACCACAAGGGTTTTCAGCTCAGGTGCAGTGACTTGGTGTTCTCCCAGCCACGGGGCCCCAGTGCTCCACTCCCTTGGCCCTGGGGTGTGCTCTGCAGTGTGGCTGGCACAGCGTGCAGGAGGAGCATCCACTCAGCTCCCTGGCCTCTGCCTGAGGATCGGCTCCAAAAGGCATTTCCAGCATCCCGCAACCTCCTGGAATTCACCCCCTGCTCAGCTGCTCATGCTCCATCCATGGCTCTTGCAGCAGGAGACTGCGTCCATTTTACAACCAGGGAAACTGAGGCACAGAGAAGAGAGAAACTGCCAGCTCCTGCCTTTCCCCAGCCACCCAGCTACTCTGCCTCCCTCAGCTCCTGCCTGCAGCATCCCTGAGTCACCCGGGTGTGGGCAGGGGAATAGAAAAGCGGGAATTGTGCCTGGAAATGATGCAGCAGGATGGGGATGAGCCCCAACACCCCAGGACAGGTGCTGGGGAGATCGAGGTCGGGGACAGAGCAGTGCCAGTGAGGTTACCCCGAGTCCTTGATGTCCTATTTTGGGCCCACCTGACAGCAGGGCAGGGGAAGAGCAGCCCAAGGGCAGGACGAGAGGGGCTTTTCTGGGAAATGAGAAGCGCAGGGTGTTGAGTCACGGCTAGACAGGGGCCCTGCACGCAGCAGCAACACACAAAAAAAAAAAGGAAGAAAGAGGCTGCGTAGGGTATTTTTTTTCCGAAAAAAAAAAAAAAAAACCCAACCCCTAAGCACATTTAAAGCCCCAGGGCTGCCGAAAGAGCGGGCAGGATGGCTGCGTCACCACCAGCCTGGGACAGAGCATCGCCTTGTAAGGACAGAGCTGCATCTTCAGGGAAACCACAGCTTCTCGCAGTGGCGTGAGCAGGCGGCTCAGCCCCATGCTCGGCCCCGCTGCCCGCCGAGCCCCCTCCGTGCCCTGCTCTGCACCGCGGGCATTCGGTCCTCTTCCCCACCGGAGCCGGCCGCCCGCTGCAGCTGAGGTGCCACGCTGCCGGGGTGCTGGGCCAGCCGTGTCCCCAGGCAGGTGTGGGACGAGCAAGGCAAAGGCTTCAAGGCTCCAGATCCGTGGGGTTGGGGGTCACATCCCCATCCGCACCGCACAGCCTGACAGCCTCCGAGCCTCGTGCTCAGCAGTGTCAGCTCTGTGATGGGAGCCAGGAGCTGCAGAAGCCTCTGGGTTGGGGGACGGTGTGGTGGGGGCAACGCTGGGCAGGATGGGAGCTTGGCACCCTGCGTGGGCTTGGTGGTGTCCCACGGGGTCTGACACGCGTGGAGAGGGAGGGGTGTCCCCTCCTCTCCATGTCTGCAGGGATGTCTTGCTCCATCCAGGGCTTGCTTGGATTTGCTGTGGGTGCAGAGCAGCCAGGGCACACTGTGGGCATCGCAGGGCTCGGGTGACAGCAACAAGGGATGACGGCCACTGCTGCCGCTGGGCTCTGGGCCCCTTGGCACAGGCAGGCGGGTCTCCAGTGTGCAGGAGCAGTGGGAGGCAGCAGATGAGGGGCTTGGCTCGGTGCTCTTTGCTTAGGGCTTTGTGGCTACAAAGGAAGGGCCAAAGCGGATCCTGGGGCACGGCAGGATGGGGGTCACGGTTGCAGTGTCTCTGTCAAGTGCAGCTCAGCTTGGGAAGGGTGGCATTCCCCTAGCTGAGCCTAATCTGCACTGAGGCAGCCCATTTGTCCCACGCCCTGGCAAAGCCTTGGAGCACAGCCCTGCCGCTCCCAGACCCTGCCCCACTGCCCCAGAAGGATACAAAGATGTAATCATCCATAAAACGCTTCTTGAGGTTCTCCACGATGGCCTCCTCGGAGATTTTGGAGAGTAGGACCATGTCATCCACGCCGCTCTGCTTGACGTTGTGGCTCTGCCAGTGGAAGCGCTCCTTGCTGCCCTGCGGGGAGAGGGCCACAGCGCCTGCACCGGGGCCACCACCCACAGGAGTGGGGCTCTGGGCCTGGACCTGGCCCCAGCTCCCCCTGAGCTGCTGGTGGCTCTAAGTAGCCCCTGCCCCTGCTGTGGCTCCTAAACAGGCACCCTCGGGTGGTTCCGGCCACGCTGGGAACCTGCAAAGCTCAAAAGCCCAGCGCTGCTGCACCTGGGCTTGCCCCATCCGTCTGGCCAGAGCCTGCCTCTCTGCAGGTCTGGCCCCCAGAGAGGAGCAGAGGGAGCGCTGAGACTGTCTGCGTAACAACACCCCTGCTCCTTATGGAGGTCACGAAGGTCTGAGGAAGCAATTGCTGCACAGGTTCTGCTTCTGAGTCAAAGGGGGCAGCAAAAATAACCCAGGGGAAGGGCAAAAATTGCAGCTGTGGGTTGTGTTTTCACAGAATCGTCAAGGATGGAAAAGACCTTGAAGATCACCTGGTCCAACCATTAACCTAACACCGACAGTTCTCAACTACCCAACTCAGTGCTGGGTCAACGTGACATATTGAAGCCCTTGTGGGGCTTAAACACCGTCCTGGGCTGGGAGGGGAGGGTACGATTTCACCGTGCAAAAAGAAAACTACTGAAAGCCCCCTTGTCCTTGATGCTGCAGAGGAAACTCACTGAGTAAAACCGTGGTGCCCGTGGGGTCCTTGGCGCGGTGCCGGGGAGGAGACACCCCACCCGGACCTGCCCGTGGCTCCTCTGCACCTGTACCACAGCCCCCGCGGTTCAGCTTTCACCCCAGCGCTCCCGGCACCGATTTCACTTCTCCTCCCCCAGTCGCCCCTGGCCTCTTACTCTTTCCATTTCCCTTTTCTTCTCTTCCCCTTTTGCTTCCTTTTCCTGCTGGCTCTCAGGATTTCAGGCCTCTGGACCCCAACGCCTCTGCACCCTCCTGTCTGCCCCTGATTTTCACAGGCTGTTTGCAGCCCCCACACCCACCCTCGGATGCTCGGCACAACCCGGCACCGTCGTGATGGGGGACGGAGGGACCATCAGGGAGCCTGGAGGGCCTCAGCAGCATCGTGCTGCTCTCCCCAGCCGCTTGCCTCCCCATTGGGCTGCTGGGCTTTACAATCCAAAATACCATCCACGCGCCCCCAAACCCCCAGTGCAACTCAAGCCCCCACAGCTGGCAGAGGGGCTTTTTGGCTTGGTTGTCCCACCACCTTCCCTTGGGATGGACCTGGGTCTGCTCAGGGGGTCCAGGAGGGATCAGGGCTGCTCACGCAGCCTGAAACTGTGCTGGGAGCTTCTCCTCTTTCTGTTTGTTGCTTATGGATTTTTCCTTGCCTTTCTCTTCCTCCCCTCCACCCTAGTGAGCCCCTAGAAAAGCCACCCGGAAAAAATGCAGGCAGGTTCAGTCGTTGGCTCCGGGTCACCATCCTGTCACCCAAGGAGCTGTTGTTGACCCCAGGAGCTGCCCAACCTGGCCAAAATTTTATGTTTCAGGGGGAGAGGAGCAAGTTGGAACGAGCCCACGGGGAGCCCAGCACCTCATTTCCCCGTCCCCTGCCTCCATCACCCTGAGCACTCTGGCATGGGCACCCTGCTCGCGTGGCTGGTTATGGCACCAAATTAAGGCAAATATGAGCATTTCCTGTACTGCAAGCTTGGTGCTTTCGAGCTGACACCCGGAGTTTCTCCTTCAGTCAAAGGACTGCACAGAGCTGTCAGCGGTGAGCACGTGCCATCACGTCACCTCTTCTTCCTCCAGGTATAGGTTAGGTGCTTTCCTGGCTCAGCTCAGGGGACCTGATGCAGCACAGCTGCAGGGAAAACACCAGTTCACTTTAAATGAAGGTTTTGTCCCCCATATCTGCAAGGCTGTGGGGTGTTTCTGCCCTGTTTCTGGGAGCACAAAGTCTTCATGGCTTTCCTGAGCAAGTCTCAAGAGGTAGCACAGGGGGTTTGCAAAGCCAGGGCTCATTAAACTGGATAAAAGTCTTGTGGAGAGGATGAAGAGGAAAGTTGCTCACTCAAAAGCATGGCATTGCCCAAGGTCGGTGCCCAGCGAGCCCTCGGGGGACAGGGGCTGCAGGCAGCATCTGCGGGGGGAGCAAGGGCACAAACTGCATTTGCTTTCAGAGCTTTGGGGCAGCGGTTCCTCCGTCCCCTCCTCGGTCCCAGGCCAAAGCGAGGGATGAGCCAGAGATCAGCAGTTCAAGAGCCACCACTGCGCGTTCCCCAGCGAAGGGGAGTGATGGGAGGCCGGGACACAACACCTCGTGAGTCTGTTTCAATCCTCAAGCTGAGCAGGGAGCAGCTTTGGGCAGCCCTTGGTGCAGTTTGCAGCCACTTTGCACCGGGCTCTGACAGTGGTCCCGTGCGTGATGGGTGCATGCGTGGGGAGCCCCATCAGGGTCCCCAGGAGTACCCCAGCCAAGGGCTGCGGAATGGGGACTGTCACCATCCCAGACACCGCCCATGCCCGGGGCTGCGGATGCACAACAGGATGGCTGAGCCCTTCAGCAGCAATGGCAAAACATCGTCTGTGGTTTTTTTGGTTGTTTGTTTTTTTTTTTTTTTCAAATCTCAGGCCTGAGCCACAAGAAAAACCCTGCAAAGCCTGAGCGGGGACGGATGCAGCCCAAGGTGGCATCTTTTGTCTTGAGACAGGACAAGCCCAGATGCAGACAACACCTTAAAACCGCCGGCAGCCTTGAGAAGAGCAGCACGGGGTGTTGCACAGCTGTCGCAACACCGCCGGCTCCCAGGAACAAGCAGGGTTTGGGGCTGGGGCGCTTCCCCCAGAGTCTGGGGCATGGGGAATGGGGCTGGCCCTGGAGCTGAGCTCTGGCAGGGGTTGGGGTGGAGGCTGCACAGCCCCATGGCCCTTCACAGAGACACAGAACACCTTTGAGTCCCGTGGCGGTGTGGAGGGGACTGTGTTTGTGTGTTGTGGGAGACAGCACCTGAGCTGTCTCTCAGAGGTGAAAACTGTGACCGCGGGTGAGGGAAGGCTCTGCCTCAGCCTGGCCACCGTCCCCTTCCTTGGCTGGGTGGAAATGTCTGGGGCAGCATCACTCCAAGACACGGAGCGAGCAGAGCTGTGGGCTGAAGGACGTGGCTGTGCCCACACTCCGCAGAGCCTTACTCCATATCTGAGCATCCCTCTCATTTGGAGAGCTTTTATCTTCCTCTTCTGCCTCCAGATCCGCTGCCAGCTCTGGCCGCCGCCCTTTCAGCAGCCCCGTGTCCTGCCCACAGCCCCTGTGCCCTGAATAGGCTGGGGTGCAAGGTCCAACCCTGGGCTCCGACACCCAGAGGGTCCTTCTTGGTTTGAGCTGGCCTGGGGGCTCCCGGCAGCCCCCGCCACCCCCCCGCACTCTGCCTGCACCACAGTGCTCACCGCCCGCTGGCACGACGAGCGCTGAAACCCGAAGCGCTGGTGGGAAGTTGGGCCAAGAGGAACACAGGGGTTCTCCTGTTGGTGCCACACCGACAACAGCAACAACCAAACCACTCTGTGTCAGTCCGGTCTCACCGCCTGGTGCCCTCCATCCTGCTCGGGTCAGCACTCCAGGGGCACCGACCCAGCACCCAGCTCCCATCCCCGGCTGCTCCCCACCACCGTGCCCTGCGCCAGTGCCTCCCCCAGCCCCAGCTCCGCTCCCTGTCCCCAAGCCTGAGCAGCACCGTCCCCTCTCCAGCGGGGACACCGAGCGGGCTCCTGGCACCTCCTGGGAAGCAGCAAGGACCACGATGGGTGCAGGAGAGCCCTGAGGTGGCAGAAGAGAGGGCAGGATGTCACCCGAGGGTCCCCGAGGGAGACAGGGTAGAGGGAGCCCCACCAGGGCCCCGCTTGCACTCACCATGGTGTCCCTGCGTCTCACCCCTGGGAACGGGGCGCTCGGGGCTCCTGTCACCGAGGGCCCGGGGCCATCCTGAAGAACTTTGCTTTTGTGTTTCTGCTGCAACTACAAGTGCAACTAATTTTTTTTTTTTTTTTCCGCCTCCCACTTCCTCATTTCGCACCGGGTTGCCGGGGGTGGGGAGGATGAGGGTGGCTCTTGGCTGCTGGGGGGGGCACTTGGGGTGGCCCTGCCCAGGGTGACCCCACCTCTGCTTCAAACGGGTGCTCTGGGTGCAGGGGGTTACCCACCCCAGGCAAGAGGGTGGATGCTGGGTAGAGTCTGTCAGGGATGCTCAGAGCCTCCACAAAACCTGCCCTGACAGTTTGCTGCGCCCCACCCCACGGGCAGCCAGGCAGTGCTGGGGGATGCTCTGCTTCACCGTGGTTTTAGGAGCACGTTGCCCCTGGTTGCTGCTTTTTCTTCAGGTCTTTTGAATAAAAAAGGCCACGATGAAGGAAACATTTTGACTGCAACTGGGCCCAAGCTGGTTCTGAAAGATCATCGCTGGGGCTGTGCGGGGCACCACCGAGGCAGCGTCCCCACCACACTGCAGAGCCGATGCTCCTGCAAACCCTACACACACGGACTCGTCTGCTGGCATCAGCCCTGGCGTGCAAGGCCTGGCTCAGTGCCATGGCCCGGCGAGGCTGAGGCCAGGCTCTACTTGAAGAAAGGAGCCTGGTCCAGCCCCAAGAAAGACTCTGTTGGGGGGGGGTGGGTGTAGGGGGCAGCTCCCTGGCAGTGGTCAGCCCCCCAGCACAAAACAGCTAAGAGGGGCCCAAGAAAACAGCAATTGCTGCAGTGGGAAGCCAACAACTGAGCACAGTTCGCCGCCACCACACCCCACTGTCCCCTGCAGAGCTGCCACCCAACGCTGATCCCTCTGGCCCCCCCAGAAGGGCAGTGGCAGAGCCCACAGGCTGGGAACTGTCACCTGCAGGGCTCAGCCCACCCTTACCACGGCAAGTCCCCACTGGATCCACGAGCTCAGTGCTCTTCGGGACTGACCGGCTGTGATTTGGGTCTCAGCGCAGCTCTTGCACCCTTGGGTGCTGTTTCGTGGTCTCCCTGCGCTGCCTCCCCCTCCTACACAGACACGGAGAGGTTTTGTTTTGAAGAAAAGAGACTTTAATTGCCATAAATAACAGAGAACACCCCATCAAAGTTATTCTAATACCCTCCGTCCCACCAAACACATGAACATCCCCACCCTTGTCGCCCACTGCCCGGCTCCCCACATCAGTCTCTTTTCTCCCCTGGCCCCCCCGGTCTGTCTCCGAGCTCCCTGCGCTTGCTGGGGGGTGCTGCCAGGTCGCTCTGCCTCCTCTTCCTGCCCCGCTTCTCTGGCACGGCCGGCTGGGATGGGGGCGGCTCCATCCCCACATCCCCACTCGCCTCCTGGGCCTCCAGCCCCAGCAGAAAGTCCTCCAGGCCCAGGACGCTGTCGATGGTGTCGGGGATGCCGCAGTCCAGGCTGAGCAGCTCGTCGGGCAGCTCAAGAGAGGGGGAGTCACAGGGGGGGACGGCTGCACCGGTGTGCCCAGGGTTCCCAGGTGTGAGGCTGCTGCTGGGCCCGTTCTGGCTGACCCCCACCGTGTCCAGGGAGCAACCGAGGAGCCTGAGGGCCTCTTGCTGCAGCATCTCCTCGGTCACAGCCAGGTCGTCCATCACGTCCCCAGG